CCGCAGGCCGGAGGGCGATCCGACTCGCGGGAGGGCCGGGACCGAGGGTGATGCGGAATACACCGTGTTGTATTTTATTTATGTCATACCCACCCAAGAAAACACGCCTTTCAATGCGAAATGAGCGAAAATTTGGCGTCCGTAAGCCCACTAAAACGCAACAACATCAATTCCAACGTCCAAAGTTTGTATTCGAATTTTCGAAAGCGGTGCACACGGATAGGGCGAAGCGCGTTCGAGTCTTTCTATGGAACATTTGGAAGGCCCGGGCCGTACGGGTTTAGAACCCCCGGGCCGTACCGCTAGTTATCACACGGGCCGGAACACCCGTATCGAACGTAATCGCGGCCCAGGTAGGACAGTACAGTACCTTGCGGAAAGTCCGTCCTATTTCCAGGCGGATCGTGCACACCATCACAGTTCGTCTCGTGGTCCAGGTCGGACTCGTCACTAGAATCACCTGAAGTTGAGATGAACAGCATTTTCATTTATTGCCTTCGTCAGAAAGGTATGTTTTCGGTTTGGGCTTGGTGGGACAGCTGTGGTGCAGGTCTGTATGTAGCTAGGTCAATGTCATAACTCGAGTAGTTGTGGACGGATCTTTTTGATATCTGGTATGTGAGCAGCTGTTGTGGAAATGAAGGTTGAGTTCAAAAATGGTCCACCTGGATTTTTCCAGCGGTACTGCAGCAGGCTTTTTGTTGACTGTATATTTCATCTATTTTTTTTATCATTTCTATTTTGTTTAAGCAAGAAACTACCTCAGTGCCTGATTATTGTTTTCACGGACACACATATAAACAATACTATGATATTTTCATAACAATGCTGAAAAATTTCTATAAATAACGACAAGTGTTTTTTGTTTGTTTTTGCCGAACAAATAAAAACAAAACAAAACTTACTAGATTAAGAAACTCAGGACTCAAGTGCATAAGACATCATTCATCATAAATATTTATATAGTAGAAAATATATAATACTTTGCATTTTTAACAACTTTTTCACTTGGAAGATCGCTGACATCATAGGCATTTTATTTTATCTTATCCGACCATTGTGTATTTATGAAAATATTTGTTTACCACAGTTGTTGATGCCGTCACACTCCAGGTCAGCGTGGATACAGCGGCCGTTCGCACACTTAAACTGGGGCTGCATAAACCCCGGACTGAAGTGTTCCAACGGACACAGTCCGAGACCTGTCAGAAAAACAAAACAAAACACAACATTATCAGTTATGTGTGCTAAAGTTAAAGGTATCCAGTGCAGTTTTTAGGGCTTGGAAATCCAATTTTTTTAAGCCCATATTCCAGTCATTTATCTACGATAGTGAGTTGAAACCACACTGTCTCAATGTATATTGACCCTCATGGAACAAAAATTACCAAATTTCTGACGGAAAATGGTTACTGGAAGGGCCCTGGGCTGACTTGTAGGGTACCGTCCAGAAAATAAAGGACTCGTCTTGGGGCTTGTTTCTGCAGTTTTAAAAGCCCAAAGTATGAAATACAGCTGACTCAAATGTGCTAATGTGAAGCGTTATGTGTCACGGCATCATACACATTGCCTTATTCAGAATATTTCTCATTTTTGCTGCCCTGAAATTGTATTGGATGACTTTAAAACTTTTGATCCAACACAAGGTAAATTTTCTTAAATTTTATGGTGTAGCATACAACACAAGGTAAATTTTCTCACCTAGAGCTTTCTACCAGTCACTCTGGTCTTCCTCAGTAGACTGACCCAGTGAGACGGGGGGCGACATCGTTTACCAGATACCTTTGACCCAGTATTGACGTCACACTTCAAAGAAGTCACGTGACAAGCTTCACTGAGTCAGTCTATTGAAGAAGACCAGAGTGACTGGTCGAAAGCTCTAGGTGAGAAAATCTACCTTGTGTTGTGTGCTACACCAATATTGATTTTTAGAAAGGAATTCTAAAACCAATTCGAAAATTCTCCAGGGTCCTTTCCTGTATCTATTTATAGCAGTGGTACAATAGCAGAGGGATGCTTTGCCAATTTTAGCATTGGCCCTGACGTCATCTGTGTTCGTGTAACACATGCTGAAAGGTTTGACGAAACTTATCGTCTGATTCTGACGTCACGGAGTACCCCGAAGTGGTGCTCAGTAACGGCGGAGGATCTGTCTCATTCATGTGAGAACTGGCGGAAAGATCGATCGGTGTATTTGAGCTGTACTGAAAAAGTGAACTTTGTGGAGAGAGAGAGAAAGAGAGAGAGAGAAAGAGAGAGAGAGAGAGAGAGAATGGTTTATTTACACTTGCTGGCAGCACAAGTGGCTGAATTATAGTTTGTATAGTGATTTTGACGAAATAGGTAGGATGTAGGAAACAGGAGGAGCGGGTAGAAGCAGATAAAAAAAAAACCCTGGTCCCGGACCGGGGTTCGAACCCACGACCTCCCGAGCACCAGAGTCCGACGCTCCAACCGCTCCGCTAAAAGGTCTAGACCTATCGGCCGAGTCAGTTGGTAGCGCCTATACCCCCCCCCCCCCCACTGTCACAAGGACAATAAAACTTAATCTATAGTTCTTTTAAATATCTGTTTCAACTTGGTTAACCAATCAGGTATTACACAGTATTTACACAGTAGGGTAGCGCACCATTCCTAAACCGAACATACTGCATTTGTACCGGGTTAGCATATATACAAATACCCTACCACCTTGGAAGTACATGAATATATAGTCACGGTCAGGACCAAATTGTCTCGAATTTAGACATCACATAATGTTATAGAATAACTCGCTGACATACACAAGTAGTTTCCGAATTCTATAGGATTAATTCTTGACAAGTGACGAGCCATTCACGGTGCCTGAATGGTTTAAATCTCTTCACGGTGAGCCCTGACGCGACATTGACGTTTGCAGGTGTCCGGTGTCGCCTGCCACACGGGCCCGTGCGCGACAACAACAGAACCCGGTGTTAAGCCATGATCCTGCCAAATACATGACTCCGACACTACCTGGGGGTTTCCAATATACCTGTGACAAGGTAGTCTCTACCAGACTAACTACACTGGCTATATACATGTATAGGAGAATATTTGCCAGGGGAGTTTGGCCGCCTTGTAGGTTTGACTGGCCGCGGAGGGAAAGAAACAACCTCCCCGCGGCCGGACTCCCCTGGCCAATTTTACTCTCTTTTTTGCCGAAATCTACGTAGAAAGGTCTGTTGGAGGCTGGAGACAAGGAGTGGGAGGGGTTTGGTCGTAATGTTAGAGACTAAACCTAACCCCAAACGTAAGTCTAGCCCTAGCCCTGAACAACGATCCCAACCCTAACACTAGCCCTAAACACCTGACCTCTCACGTATGTGGCAGCTCAAGGATTTGGCTCACGTACCCCGGTGTCGCCTGCCGCACGGGCCCGTGCGCGACAACAACAGGACCCGGACACGGTTTGCTCAGGTGGGCTCTTGTCTGAGCCCCCGGGTTTCCTCCGGAAAGTAGGACTTCGCTTCAGTTCTCACAGAGAAAACTCAAGGGAGCAGGACATTTAGACGAGAGGTTTTAAATGCAGGAATTTCGCGATGTAAGCAGATAGCATGTATTGTTAAGGGATGCTTTGCCTACCAGGATACCGTGTTTCAAATCCCATGGCGTCACTTACAAGTGTGTGTGTTGATCCCGTAAGGCCACACCAATTTAATTTGTTGGTTCTCGGATTTCCCTCTTGATTTTTTTTCTGATTTGCAAAAAAAAAGATTCTGGTTCTAAATCAACTCGAAAATGCTCATATTTTTGCCCCCAACAGTTGAGGAAAGTCATTTTCTTCTTAATTGTTACAGTTTTCCATCTATCAATGTAGTGGTTTGATTAATTAAAATTCATTGTGTAAACATCAATCCAGTCTTTTGTGTTGACTTCATGGCTCCTATCGTAGCATTTGGGGCTATAATAGGATGCCTAGACCTGTTTTGATTTTTTCGCCCTGTCGCTTCATATTTTTCCTGAAAAAATCCGAGAACCAACAAATCAAATTGGTGTGGCCTTAACTACTTTAGCCCCCCTCCCCCAACAACGTTTCCCAAATATGTTTGCGCAATCGGAAGGCTTCAGTGTTTATTCTTGGTGGTATTTTTCTTTTGTCGGTGGTGAGGCTAAATTTAGCAATTTTCTAGGGTTTCTAATGGCTGTGTCTTCTAGTAATAAAAAAATCTGAATGTCAAGCAACTTGTTATCTGTTATTTATTGTATTTTCTATGTCAGTGATGAGGCTAAAATTAGCAGGTTGCTATAGTTGCTCATCGCTGTGTCTTGTACTTTTCTACGTTGTATACTTCAAGTAAGAAAAAATCGGAATGTCAAGCAACTTGTTATTTGTTATTTATTGTATTTTCTTTGTCAGTGATGAGACTAAAATTAGCAAGTTGCTAGAGTTGCTCAACGCCGTGTCTTGTACTTTTCTATGCTGTACCTCTAGTAAGGCCATGTTGATTTGATAATATGGATGACATCCTCTGTGAATCCCCAAACTGATGCGAGCGTGCGAATAAAAAAAGCTTGGCAAATAAAAGTTGGTTTCCATTATGAAATCTACGTGGTTATGAAGGTTGACCAAATGACACAGAGTATGGTATGGCGAATAATCTACTCTTCAAATTCATTTCTTTACATTTTCGTCTTTTGCGTTTGATTTTGGCATACTACGACATTGGTATCGTTTTCCAATATCTTTTTGTAACTTACATAGTATGTATTTGCTTATTTTGCAACTGTTTTGTACGATTTACAGTATGGTTGAAAACAATTTTTTCCAGGAAACGGCAAAAATTCATGCGCGCGCGGATGTCATCCATATAATCAAATCAACATGGCCTAATAAAAAAATGGGAAGGTCAATCAACTTTACCCTACATTTCTATCGTACAAGGACCCAGTGTTCGTGTGAAAGCGAACTGGAGAAGGTATTGATCAAAGGCTATCAAAGAACGGACCAGGAGTAGAGTGCCTGACTCGAGAGTGGTTCACTTCTGTGTGTTATAATAAAGCACCTCATGTTCGGTACTAACAGGGCATTGTTTGGCCATCGCCTGTGACTTTGTGTGTTTGTTTGTTTGTTTTGCATAACCAGTAAACCGCCTTTATGCGTAACACACCAGTTTTGTACATGCACATGTACAAGCTGCGTAAGACCGGACTGTAAGATTTAAATCACTCACTTAAGTGTGGTGGGTTCTTTAACGTGCGTGGGGTGTGGCTCTCCCCAAACACGGGACCCCCATTTAACGTCCTATCCGAGGGACGTCCTAAGCGAAGCTAGGTACTCATTTCCACCTGAGTGAAGTGAGGAAAGTCGTGCAAAGTGCCTTTCCCTTGCAAGGGCGCAAGATCGGTGACATGGGCAGGATTCGAACCCGCGACCTCTTGGGTGTGAGCCTAACGCGCTACCGACTGCGCCACACGACCCCACAACTTTATCATGAGATTCAGACGTCTGATACAACTCACTAAGCAGTACAGACAAGTTTATATTTCTAATGGACTTAGACAAACATTCAATTATGAAACATACCTGTTCTTGCCTTTTTCGAGGAGAGTTAGAATTTACTAATAGGTGTAGTTACTTGACAATATTTATATCTGAAACGTTGTCTGAATACTATTAATTATTTTGTTGTGACCTGTGCTTAACCCAGTGGGTATATGTGTACAATAAAGGTCTTCATTCTTTCACTCGTTCGTTCATTCACTCACTCAAGCACTCACTCACACACTCACTCATTCAAGTGGTAGTGGTTTGTGTGTGACCTGTACTTAACTCAGTGGGTATACCCAGTGGGTATATGTGTACAATAAAGGTCTTCACCCACTCACTCACTCACTCACTCACTCACTCACTCACTCACTCACTCACTCACTCACTCACTCACTCACTCACTCACTCACTCACTCACTCACTCACTCACTCACTCACGTGGTAGTGCTTTGTGTTTTTGTGTTTAACTCCCATACTCTTTCCCAAATGCCGAATGCTAAGCAGGGAAAGCACTTCAAAGCAGTATGTACCATTTCTATAAAAGCCTTTGGTATGACTCGGCCGGGGATCGAACTCACGGCCTACCGAATGCAAGGCGAACACTCTACCCACTTGGCCATTGTACCCGTCTAGCCATCGCGTGCAACAGGGGAGCCTTAATGCGCGTGGGGAAGGGGCGGTCTTCCGCGACACACGGCGGGGAACAACAATAAGAGACAACGCTAGAATACTCTTGTTATGTCTGTCGCTGACAACCTGTTGTTTTTGTGGATCTACCTCAGGAACTTACAAAGCCAGAACGCGTGGAAGAGAGCCGAAACTCGGCAAAGATAAATGGTGTTGCTGGCACTGAGTTTGTCGAAGTCGGAACTTCAGCTGGGGTCGTGTGGCATAACGGTAGAGTGTTCGACTGGGGACCTAGAGGTCCCGGGTTCGAATCCTGCCTCAGAAATTTACAAAGGCAGAACGCGTGGAAGAGAGAAAAACTTCACAGAGATAAATGGTGTGTTGCTGGCACTACTGTTTGTCTAAGTCAGAACTTCAGCTTGGGTCGTGTGGCGCGAACGAGTGTTCAACTCGGGGCCAAGAGGTCGCGGGTTCGAATCCTGCCATGCTACCGATCTTGTGTCCTTTACACGACTTTCCTCAGGTGAACACTAGTACTGTATTGTCCTCTGTGTTGGCGTCAGCATAAGAATAAGAATAAAAAAAACACTTGAGTGTGCTATCACCACGTCTTGTGGATACATGTTGGAATAAAAAAATTTAAAAAAAACTTCATGCTCCGGCCATGGTGGTCTTGTCTTTAAAGATTCCCAGACGTACAAAGGTTATCGAAGGAACTTCAGAATCCAGAAGAAACGACTGTCGTCGGGATGATGACTTAAGTGGTGCTTTGAACTTTCACTTTCGAAAACGCTGAATAGCACAGGTTGGAGATAAAAGCACTGTAACGTATCACACTGGTAGACAAAGGTTATCAGGGAAAGGATATGTCTTCCACGTCTGTACTGTGTAAGCTGCCAGACAACTTACGATAAGTGGGGGTGCATCTCACGCAAACACAGTGTTTGTGTGTCTTTTTACCTCCATGAAAAATGGAGGTATTGTTTTTGGCGTGTCTGTCTGTGTGTGTGTCTGTCTGTGTGTGTTTCCGCAACTTTGTAGTCAGCATAACTTCATATGGGTTGTGATGATATTTGGTATGCTGATAAGTCTTAGGAAGACAAAGGTCAAGGTCAAATATGGGCCTCCTGGTGGATGACCTTGGTACTGCAGCAGAACTGCAGTTGAAATGAAGTATGACAAAGCAAGCCCATATTTCATGGAGGTATGAGATCTCGGAACTCTTTTTTTAACTTGTAGGAAGAAGTGCCAAAAATGTCCGACGTGAAGCATTATAAACAAACTAGATTTTCCCGATTTTCATCTAATCATGACAATCATCACTTCAGCTACCTGGCATGTGCAGATCTCGAGATATCAAAAACCGTAAGTTCCTCTGCAGTACCATTACAAGCCGCCAGGGGACCCAAAATCTAATCATTTCGAGGTCTCCTGAAGACCTACCCACCTACAAAATATCAAGATAATCCGTCTAAGCCTTCTCGAGTTATCTTGTTTACAGTCAGACAGACACACAGACACACCACACACACACACACACATTAACACACAGACACACACAGACACACACACACATTAACACACACACACATACACACACACACACACACACACACACAGACAGACACACACACACACACACATACACACACACACAGAAAGAGAGAGAGAGAGAGGGGCAGACAGACAGACAGACAGACTAGACACGCACATACGATCGCCACCGAAAACATTTATCTAAAAGCTAGCGGTAACATCGTGGTTACGCGACGGCTGCATGTGGCACACACGTCTCAAAACACCCGAACACATCCGGACACCACCCGTTTAACAGACAATGATGATCCATCCCATGTGGCGTCCACGTTTTTAACCACCGTCAAATGAAAGTCTGCCGTCACGTCCAGATTTAACTACAACAGGATGTTTCCTAACCCCGAGACGAGAAAGAGGCGCTAAATCTTTGATAGCGTTGAAGAAAAGAAAAACATTTCAAGGAAGTTTATTTAATTGTTTATCAACAACGCCTCGAGGGGTCATGTGCAAGTTCTTTAGTGAACTCTGGACTTACGTGGACGACTTTGCTGAGATCTAAGATGTTGATAATGCACAGCGAATGAAAGAATGAGTGAGTGAATGAATGAGTGAGTGAGTGAGTGAGTGAATGTAGGAAGGAATGTAGGAATGAATGGCTGAAAGAGTGATTGAATGAATGGGTGGATGAATGAGTGAGGGAGTGAGTGATTGAATGGTTGAATGAATGGATGGATGGATGAGTAAGTGATTGAATGAAGGAAGGAAGGAAGGAACAACCGAATGAAGGAATGAATTAATGAATTAATTAATTAATTGATAAAATACAATTTAGTTTCCTATCGTAACTCCTGATTGGATCATTTATATGGATTCGCAAGTACATGTAGTATAAGATTTATAATCGACACACTACAGTTTCTGAAGAAAAAACATTTTTGTGTGGATTTCATTGGTCAACCTTTGAGGTGGTCAGTTATTTTTGTAGTCATTTCAGTCTAACTTCATGTACAGACGGCACATGTTCCTTTAACAGCACCACAGGCAGCTTTCACACATCTATAAACGCTCAGAGGACGTGTAGGGTTTCCGAGAAGGTCTGAATACATCTGTATAATAACAGACGAGACCTTGTCAGCGCGTGTTGTGACAACAAACCGACGTAACTTTATCTCAACCCAAAACATCAGACCGCCTCTGCCGGGGACTCGGCACTGAGGGCGCCGTTGTTGTTGTATTTTTTTCTCAGCTTTCTTATCATCTGTGTAAAGTGTTTCCAGTCTTTCCTGACATGTGAGCCCGACTACTGGGTCACTTAGAGCCGTAACTCTTCTTGGACACCTTACAACTGAAGACTGAAGGCAGAATGTGGTATGAACGGGTTCTCACTGGCATACTGTTACCAGAACAAGAGTTGTCACTTTTGCAGCTTATTTTGGAACGATTTTGTTCCCCCACTTCAAATTCCCACAACGCAACACTCTATGTTATGTGTAGGGTCGTGTGGAGTAACGACAGAGTCCTCGGCTCAGAAACAAAGAGGTCCCGAGTTCGAATCCCGCCATGCCACCGGTCTTGTGCCCTAGGGAAAGGCCCTTAATATTATACTCAACTTTCCTCACTTAACTCAGGTGAAAATTAGTATTGTCTGTTGTCCTCTGCGTTAATGGCGGCATAAGAAATAATGTCCTGTGCTAAATGTTGCAATAAAAACACTATTCTCAATGGCAAATGGCAGACAGCAATAGTGGGGTCGTGTGGCGTATACGCGTAGGGACAGAGTGCTCGACTCGGAACTATGAGATCCCGGGTTCGAGTCCTGACATGTCACTGATCTTGTTCCATTGGGAAAGGCACTTAATACGACTTTCCTCACTTCGCTTAGGTGAAAATGAGTATTGTATCGTCCCCTGTGTTGGCGGCGGCATTAATATAAGTTGAAAAAAACTTGAGTGTACCGTCACCACGTTTTGTGATTAGATGTTGGAATAAAAAAAAAAAACAGCAATGTTAGGCCAAAACTTTAGCTCTTGTTCGATGAGCAGTGAACGGATCATTAGTAGAGGCCCTCCCGGCCGGATGCCTATCTCACACACTCACCGCGTGTGCCTAGCGCCTCGTCCGTCATCACATACTACAGTACGTACCCAGTAGACTATCCTGAATACTACTGCCTCTAAAAAGGAAAAACGACGTCTTGTAGTTTTAAGACAGAACTTGTCCACACGTCGCGAACCTTACTGCTACTGAAACAAAGTTAGAATTACTCATTGACAAACTGTAAACTCCTTGGTCAAACAGACAGGAATTGACCCTATGGTCGTCTGCAGTTATTTCAACTGGAAACCATTCAGGTTGGTGAGATGGTAATAGTACAAGAAAAGGCGAGTAGTATAGGATGTCATCCAAATAATAAAATTAACATGGCCTAATCTTTCATCTGCTCACCTTCAATAGATCCAGAGAAGACGGTGTATATGATGCGGAAACTGGCAGACGTGTTATCTAAGGTGTCCTTGCTGGGGTTTGAATAAAACTCGATGCCGATACTTTTTTCTGATGACGTGACCTCATCCCTGCCGCTCTCCGAGCAGAAGTCGACCAGTACCGTACCGGGCTCATTTTCCACGTACATCTTCGTTCTGTCGTAAACCTGTCGAAAAATTTAGAATGATTCAGTTGTATCATTCCGCTGTGATAATAATAGAAAGTTTTATTGCAAATTCATGCCCAAAGGCTAATTGCATGAACAGAAGAAACATTTGTATAAAAACAGGTAATTAGTACACATAGAACTACAGATACCTATTAAGAAACTACTAGTAGAAAACTACTGGGTTTAATATTTTCTCTGTCCTGCAAATATTATTTTGTATTCAATGACCTCCTTTGTTAAACCATCCAATTGTATTAGGCCACACCAATTCAATTTCTTGGTTAACGGATTCGCCCGCTTTATTTTTTCTGATTTGCAAAAAAAAAAAATCAGAATCAACTTCAGAATGCTCATATTTTGCCTGAACAGTTGAAAACAGTCCCTTTCTTCCTACGTGTTACAGTTATTCCATCTTTCAATGCAGTGGTTTGATTAAAAGTTCAAAATTCACTGTTTGAATTTTGAACCAACCATTGTTTATTTATTCTATTTATCTTTTAAAATGTGTGAATAAACAAACACAGACCTTAAGCGTCTGGTAGGAGCAGTCTAAGGTTAGGTTGTAGAACTGTAGGTAGAAGCCGATGGCCCCCACCGGAGGGTTGAGCCTCAGGATGCAGCTCTGCGGGACGGAGGACGCCGTCTCCCCGGGGGAGTACTCTATGTAACCGGCGTGGTGCGCCACGGCAAAGTGACCGGACCCGCAGTATCTACTGAAGTCAACTGGAAAACAACAACAGTAGTCAATAAACAATGAAGGAAGGAAGGAAACGATGAAGAAGAATGAATGAATGAATGAATGAATGAAAGGAGGAATGAAGGAAGGAAGAAATGGGTGTATGAAGGAAAGAAGGAATGAAAGAAGGAAGCAACGATGGGAAGAATGAATGAAAGGAGGAATGAAGGGAGGAATGGATGAATTTATGAAGCAAGGAATGAAGGAAGGAAACAATTAAGGAAGGAAGGAATTAATTAATCAGTGAAACGGCGTGAGGAATTATTGAATAAAGGAAAGGAAGGAAGGAATGAAGGAATAAAGGGAGGAAAGAATGAATGAATGATTATCTGTGTGAGAAAAAAACAATTTTTTTATATTGTAATACCTTCGTAGTGTGTACCCCTGTATTTTAACAATCATGGCTCTCCCAAAGTGGAGGAATAAAGGAAGGAAAGGAAAGGAAAGGAATGAATGAATGAATGAATGAATGAATGAATGAATGAATGATTATTGTACACAAATACCCACTGGGTTAAGTACAGATCACAACAAAAGAATAGAATACAAATACATTGTAATCTTGAATATCCTGCTTTTGTTTTAAATTTTTGTTATCGGCATACCTATAGAGAAGTATGTTTAAGCCAGTTATATCTGTGTGCGTTTTCAACTCGACCTCAACATGATTTGTCCAGACTTAGTCGAAGTCATGACCTGTTGGCCAGGTCAAACCAATAAACCCAGAAATTACTGCTTCGCCTTGTTTTATACAGACTTACAGCTAAGGCCTTTCTTTACATAACCAGTCATAAACTAGACGTTAAAACTCCCAGACAAGAGTGTTGTACTGTGTGACAGATTGCACCTGTGCGTGTAGGACTATAGCAAGGCTACGTGGTCAAAACATGCAGGATCACTAGCCTCTATCAGGTTTCGGGAGGCGGCTGGAAAGCGTAGAAAAATTGGCCAAATAGAGAGATAACATTCCAGGGGAGTTGGTCCGCTAGAGAGTACAGTTTGCCCCCCGGCATGTTACATGTATCTCTCCATTTGGCCGATTTCTAGTCTTTCCAGCCTCATCCAGAAGCCTGATAGAGGCTACAGTATCGCCAAGCCTGTATATCGGTGATTACTTTATGTTATATTATATTATATTGTTATTATTTTATTGTGTTTGGGGATTGCCCCCCCCCCCAGGGTGCATTGAAAACCGCCCTCCAGGGCGATATGTTCTCTGGTCAAATAAACAATAAACAAACAAATTTTACATAATTTATTCACATCATCTGGTGTTGAGAGGGACATCTTTGCTACTCTATACTTAGCTTCTATTTCACAACTCCATGTCTATGCACAAGTAAATGTACATCGAGTTCTAAAACATTTGTCTATCATGCACTACTAAGCCCAAAACTAAAGAAAACTGACAATCATGGATCAAAAAGATAGTTTTTTTTTGCATATTAATAGCTTTTCCTCTGGTACTTTATTTTCTGCTCATTCTTTTAATAAAGAAATGAAGGCCTTTCTTTATTGTACACTTTTGCCTTATTAGGCTTAACACAGGTCACATGTTACCTTTGTGATATAGATAACTTTGAAATTCGTAAAACAATAACTCAATAAGAATCAGTAGCCATAAATTGAATATTGAAACAGGTAGATATTACAATATAGCCCCTGACCAAAGGTTCTGTCCTTTTTGTCCGAAGCATATAGAAAATGAATTTCATTTTGTTATGGAATGTACCAAATATGATGTTATACGTAACAAGCTATTTACATATCTCGAATCAAGTACCATAGAGTTCAAGAGACTCGATGTTGGAGACAGATTTGAATATATCTTTACATGTAATGGCCCCCACAACGCAAAAATAGGTAGATATATAAAGGAATGCTTTGCTATTAGAAAAAATACCGAAACTTGTGATTAGCCCACTCGATTGTAACACTTTATCAAACACTTGTGCTATCCCTTATTATTTGAATGATTATGATATAGATATGTTAGGTTTTATTCGACATTAGGTCTTATTCAACACACTTATTCTACTGTTGTTACTCTCTTTATGTAGTTTGCCATACATTGTACCATGTGCAATTGTCGTGCAATAAAGTTCTATTCTGTTAACGACAATGTATATATATATATATATATGCACAAGAAAACGTCTAGTAGACACACGTATTCTCGACTTCCTCTCGCTTCTTGGAAATTGCATAAATGTAGGTGGCTTTATGATTAGTAAGCGTAAAAAACGATGTAGGGTTGTAAAATTAGATTATCATTTTACGACGATTCAAGCATATAATTTATGCACGAAACATACCGGTTTATAGATATATCTTCACACACAGTATACAGTAGGGCTCGAAATTTTGGGGAATAGGTGCACTGGTGCACCCAACCTAAATAAATATAGGTACACAAGAAAAATTTTTGGGTGCACCATGTAAAACAAAACCTATGTACAGATCTTACTGCTCCTCTTCTGAGCTTGAATCTGAAATGGGAGCTAACTTCAAAATCTTACACAAGTACTATAACCAAAATTTTATTCTTATTCTGACACTTAGATGCCAAGAATATGCTGTATACTATTAGACATTTCATATGCACAAAAATACTTACAAAAATATTTGGGTGCAAAAGTTGGGTGCACAGCTCCAATTTTGGGTGCGCTAATTGTGCACATGTACCCAGTATTTCGAGCCCTGAGTACAGTATAGCCGCAAGCGACATATACAGGATAATTTGTTGCGTGCCCAATTACACGTCAATAAATTCCGACAGCCTGAATAGAGTTTAACACGCACAGTTCACTTGAAAACAATTCGTCACCTGAATACGTGATCCTCTAATTGAGCGAACACACCTTATAGTGGCCAGACCACCCTGTCCAATCTGTGTAAGGCCATGTTGATTTGATTATGTGGATGACATCCGCGCGTGCATGAATTTTCGTCATTTAAAAAAAAAAATTTGACCATACTGTAAATCGTACAAAGCAGTTGCAAAATGAGCGAATATATATGCCGTAAATTTCGCCAAAAAAAACATTGGAAAACGATACTTATGTCGTAGAATGCCGAAATCAATTACAAACGAAAAGACGAAAATGTGAAGACATGAAAATAGAGAGTCTGTATCTGTATCTGTTTATAACCGGTATAACCGCCCTTCGGCGTAACACACCAGCTTCGCAGGCACGCGGCGCGGCGGCAGCTGGCTACATTACACCGATCGACTTGCTACACCTAACCCTTGAACATCTAACTTTAGACATTGTTTAAAGCTATCTAATGACAATGCCCCTTCTAGTCTAATATTCGGCATACCCTACTCTGTGTACATGTGTTTTGTCATTTGTTCAACCTTCATGACCACGTAGATTCCATAATAAAGGCAACTTTTATTTTGCCAAACTTTGTTTTTAATTCGCACGCTCGCGTCAGTTTTGGGGTTACCAGAGGATGTCATCCATATAATCAAATTAGCATGGCCTGAGGAGGAAATTGTTCCAAAGCTTACTGCGACACGTTCTTGACCTTTGATCGATTTTGAGGGAAGTGTTCTTATGAAATAACGACAGTCTGACGTGCCTCTCTTCTCTTGGCCCGTCTTAGTGTAACCTATCATGGAATATGTTCTAATAAATATACTAGTACAGACTAAATGTGCCGGGAGCGACTACTGTAGATGTGTTTTTAGTTGTTTTACCACATTCGCCAAGAAGGTTATGTTTTTGGTAGCATTTGTGTGTATGTATGTTTGTATGTATGTGATTCAGCACGATAACTCAAAAAAGCTTTGTATGGATTGTCATTAAATTTGGTAGGTCTTGATGAGACCCGGAAATAATTAGATTTTAGGGGCCCTTGGCGGCTTCTTATGGTACTGTAGCGGAACTTCCGGTTTTGATATCTCATGATTTGGACATGGGTCATCTTTTGGCGAAGGTATGAGATCGTGGAACTCTTGTACTCCATTTTATTTTTAAGTTTAATATATTTCTCAATCAGCTTGCCTAAAAGTCCAAAACAGAACATAGCATCTGAAAGGACTACGGTAGTCTGATATTTGGCTCTGGAATAAAAGCAATCAATGAAAGATATTCGATATTTACAATTACCTCATTGTATAAAATCGCCTGACCAAACAATGAATACTTATGATATGATATGATATCTACGAGCCGTTGTCATAGATTTGACGCTTTTGTTTAACAGATTTAGTCGTTATACGTGACCCTATACATGACCTTATCTTATTTTCAAACAATTTACACGAATAATAATACGAAATGCATTTACGTACAGTTTGATTCCAATTGAAGTTCTTGATGCTAGCAAAAGGTCATCACATAATCAGACTGTGTCGCCCCAAGAGAAATTATTTTTATTTTTCATCACCATTTTTCTGTGCAAAGTGTAACGTCCCCAGAGTTCAGCCTTTCCTGATGAAAGGGTGTGTGTCAACGGCAGGAATATTTATTTATTTAGACTTTCTTCTCACCCCGTTACAGATAGCGGTGTCTTTAAACACGGTCATGTTGTATTATGATAGCTTTCATCGATTGATCCAAGCATTGTGAGCGACTGTTGGGCTTTGTGGGGTCACAGTACATCGGGATTTTGTCGTAGATACAAGAGAAGCCACCACGTGGATTATTTCCTCAGAGAAAAGGGGTTTTAGAGAAGCCTTGTAGATGTATTCCTCACACGGCATCCCTTGTTGTTCTGTGGACACAGCCAAGAGCAGCGTGACCGACCTCCGAACAACAGAATTATTTTTGTAGAGCGGTAAATTTCAGGTTAGCGCAGGGTTTCCTACACCCAACCCGCCCTGTTGTCGCTGTTACACAGCGTAATGGTTTCTCTAACAACCGTCGTAAAGTTGTAAATGTTATCGTGTTCTCTGATTTATGGTTGTTGTGGACTAGCTAACCTCCCAGCGTGGCGAGCCTGCACGTATGAACCTTGGTGCCAAGCCCTCTGCAAATATACTTTCGTCCAAAAATTATGCTGTGTTGTACAGGGCGGGCGCTGCTTTCATGTTGTTAGAGAACAACTGTACACCTTTCTGGTTGTTCATTGTGAAGTTTTGGGGATTTCAACGTATTAAAGGAGATGAAATCACAGATTCTAAGTTAGAAGTGCACCACAACGGCTTTTGCCAACGACCTACCTATAAGTGACCAAATAGTCCCTGTACTGTGGGTATAGACTACACACACTGCAAACAAATTTACTTGTTTATCCTTTAACTCACTCAATATATAAAGGATAAGCTGTGATTTCATCACTCCCGGATTTCTTTACATAGTAGAGAATCAGAATTAGAGGCCATTGTAGCACTAACAAGGACGCAGTATGTATTTTATCTGGCAGGTGTTTAACACTAAAACTAACCTCGCTGCGTTAGACATAGTTTTCTCTGGCAAAGACATGGTGTTTCTAATAGTCAAGGCAAAATCCCTGCGTAAGTTTTTTTCTGTGGAGTTCGTAGAAGGACATTCCTGTTGTAAGCTACATTTTTCAGGTCCATTTTTAGGGTTTAATTCCGAGGACAGGGAACTGTTGTGCTTTGTGTGAGCAAACACATGCACGGAGCGTAACTCTCTCCCATTCACCCCAATTCCGAGAAGCCAATACAGCGAGAACAACGTACAGGGTTCTTCCGCTAACCGTGGATGTTTCCCCCGTGCCTTATCCTTAAGAACTGACGCGGTGAGATCGTAACGTTATGTACCGGAGGAAGAACACCTGTGCTGCCGGCGCAACACTGCCTCCCCTCCGGCTTGTGTGCGCCCTTTTGCCCTCCCATCCACACGACGATGTAAATTTTGGAATGAGTCGTGCCCTCGAGTGACGATCACCAAAACAATGTAGTCCTGAATAACTTCTAATACTTACTCGTTCCATAGTTGCTAGAACCTCGGACGTCCGTTAGGTAGAAGAGGAACAACGCTAGGAGTACCGATGTTGTCCCCGGATATAGCACCATGGTGGCCGGGGCCCTGTTCTCTCGCCGTACCGTCCCTTGTTCCAAGTGAAGCGTGCGCTCGCCTCCGTGTTCACATTTAATCTGTACAAGCGGCACTTAGCCCCGCAGTCAGGAACAGGTCGCGGGGAGGGAAACCATGACAACCGGCCCCTCCGTATGTACACACGGCTGACGACTCGACGTTTGCTTGCTGAGCGAAAACAAAAAGTAGAGGGCCTTGGGCTGAGGCGCATACACTCTCGTGACAGCTGTCGGCGGCGGTACTACAACTAGAGTGATCCCGGCTGAACGCAATCTCAGCCCGCGCTTGCTTGCTCTCAGTCCCCCCGCCCCAAAAACAAGTCTGCCTTCACGGCCAGCGGTTGGGCAAACACGCAGGTGTAGTAACACACAGCGCCCGATTCAGCCCGACTCAAGCATGACGCTCGCAGCACTTTTACAAGATAATTAGGCAGTCCCCGACAATGTCGGCTGGGAAGAGCACCAAAATGAACACGAAGAACAACCAGTAAAATGTCATCTGCTCAGTAATTTTTTTTTTTTTACCGCCAACAGGCGTTTGTGTAATTTTTGAGATAATTAGATCAAGGTTTTCTTGGAAGCTGATTGGTCAACACTTCAAAGTTTTTTTTCTGACTTGCTGTCATCGGCGGGTCACGTCGGAAGAATAGCTTCCTCTCAGGCTCGGCGGGAAACGAACAATGCACCTGTCGTCTGACGACCCAGCCCGGACGGGCCTCGGACAGAACACAATGAACAAGAAAACACGGCGCGTCCAAAGGTCGTGCGCTCGGCACTCGCTCCGCAAACACTCCCCGACATAATGGCCCTCCCGATAAGATCTCCTCAAGAGCCAGCAAACGGGACGGAAAAAAGTTCTTCTAAATAGGCGGATGGATTATAAAGCTATTATTCAAGACGTGAGAAAATATTGGGACTACTTTTATTGACAGCTAGCAGGGTCTTGCGCAAAGACACCTGTTACTTTTTATGCCTCGGTGCATTTTGTCACTTTTCTTTAATCACGTGTAATTAGCACACAATTGTGAAGTTTTGTAGCATTTTAATGTATCTATCCAAGGGGGTCTATCCGGTTAGTATATAGTGATGTTATGTTATGCTATGGGTCAATGTAGAAGACGAAAATGGCTATTTACATGCGATTAAGACATTTTATACTAAGGTCTAATGCATATAAAGCGCACGTTAATTCAATACATGTAACCTCTTTGTTGATTATGACTAGATCTAGAATAGAACTATGAAGAGAATTCAACTGACTGTGCGGGAGAGGTCTTAAAGATGTGAAACAAAAATACCGAGACATCAGTTGAAATGATCTGTGTAATGTGACAATATTGGTGATCATGGAATCCGAAGCAATCTATTTCACTAAAGAGATTTTAATAAACACTTCCATGCTGACTTAAAGGTATCCGATGCAATTTTCAGGGCGGCAAAAAAATACATATATATTCTGGATATTTAAAGGAAAACTGTCTGATATTGACATAAATGTCTCTTTATTTTTGGGTACCACCCATAAATAGCTAGAACCAGCCTACGATACTTTCCGCCCTGAAATTGCATTTGATGTCTTTGTTATAGTAAAGAAGACTGTCTACTATACTCTGGACGAATAAGGCTTGTTTTGGGTACAACCCAGGATTTGTGGACTTTCCCTGCAATGTCATTTTCCTTAATGGTTATTGCGATGCCGAAGCCGATAACCTGTGTCGGAGAGGGGGCGACAAAACTTGCCTCACGCGCCCATAGGGGAGCCACACAGGGCGTACAGTAAGGCTACAGCAAGTAAATTTTATGGATGACATTCCCCGTAGAATCCAAATCTAATGCGAGCGGGCGAAAAAACAACAAGACAGGCCCAAGAAAACAAGGTTCCTACATTTTAAAATTTTGACTCAATCATTGTACAAATGTTTTGATTCAGTGAGAACATCACATATACACAGCCACCATTACATATCACTGCATCCAAGTAAGAAAGAAAACATTAAATCAGAGCCTTTTCTTGTCTCCTTTCTTCTTAGTTATCTGCCATCCACCTAGCTTCCAGCATGGCATCAGACATCTTTGCCCATTCTCGTCATGTTGACCACTGTCAGAGGGCAACAAAATTTCTTGTCTTTTTCTTCCAAATCAGGCAAAAATTAATGCGCGCGATGATGTCATCCATAAAACGTACTTGCTGTGGCCTAATGACAGGCCGGCACAATCCACATGCATCACCGTCACCCAGCGGATGTCATGCGGAAACAATGCATAAAGATGCCAAACAAGCGGAAGAAACAAATCTCTAGACTTGCCAGGAGTTTTAAAAGGGCTCCGTGGCACGATTGACGGTGCTCACAGTCGTCGAGTGAAACCTCTTTCCTCAACAAGAAGTAAATCGTTTGGAGTTAGTCTCTACCATAATAACTACGCTGGCTATATATAGGAGAATATTTGCCAGGGGAGTTTGGCCGCCTTGTAGGTTTGACTGGTAAGAAGAGGGAAAGAAACTACCTCCCCGCGGCCGGACTCCCTTGGCCAATTTTTTTTTGCCGAATTCTACGATCCATATTCCCGTAGGAAGGCCTAGGGAGGCTAGTTTGGAGAGCTGCTTGCCACACGAATCCCTCGATAGCGATCGGTCCCCGAAAAGGAAGAGCCCCGTATTCAAGGACGTCCTTCAGTGCCTGGAATAATGAAAACGTTTTAGGAGTCATCTTAGCAAGAGACGCCCACCCGGCTGCTACTCTGTCCCGCTGAAGAAAAACACAGAACGACATAGTCGTCTGCACTCATTCACACACCTGCACTGTTATTTTCTCATTAGTAAATGTCAGTCGGAACGATATAATCAGGACACTGAATAAACCGGTCCTTAGCTCTTACAGGCATCCAATACAATTTCAGGGAAAAAATTGATATATTTTGAATAAGGCATGATCTTCATAATATTGACACATACTGCTTCACATTAGCACATGGCATCAGTATTTCATACTTTGGGCATTTAAACCTGCAGAAACAAGCCCCAAGAGGAGCCCTTTATTTTCTGGGTGGTACCCCAAAATTAACCCAGGATCTTACCAGTAGCCATTTTCCTTCACACTTTTAAGCATTTTTGCTCTATAAATGTCAGTATATATTTGGATAGTGTTTTTTCAACTTACTACACGAAGCCAAGCCAAGCCATGACACATGTATGTATATAAGTGACTAGAATATTGACTTCGAAAAATCTGTTTTTAAGCCCTAAAATTGCACTGAGCACCTTTAAGAATGAAGAACACAAGAAGACTACATTTCAATCGACAAAAAGGTACTAGAATCGCGATGTAGCCAACTACATGTACATCATACTACATGTAAGCATCGTAGAACCTTTCTCTGCGACATATATCACTTGACGAAATTGTCCTAATCTGTACACGATAATCTAACCACCATAAACAGGAGCTTTGCGGGTCCTGGAGCGAAAGACAATGTAACAATGGCGGTTATCCCCCCTTTAAGCACAAAGAACAAAATCGGTGACTGAATAGCAAATAATTTGCTTGTAGTCAAGGCCTTATCAACCTCAGTATCATAGCTCCAACATTGGGGACCCTCCAAACCAACATGCCTTCCCAATTAATTGCCATTTTGTAATTAACTTGTGAATCTGAGACAATTCGCTTCGAAATGTGTACTGAGACAATACAGATAAGGATTGTCGTCGTTATGCCATTGTTTTGCATTCTCCATTGTTGTTAAAGAAATCCAATGCAATTTCTGGGTGACAAAATGAAAATATTCTGGATGAGAAAACCTGTCTGACATTGACATTTACTGCCATTTCATAGCCCATTTTGTCATTATGTCATACTTGAATCGTTAAAAATAGCCCCAAAACAGGCTATGCGAGGTTTTTGGTACCACCCATAAATAGCCAGAACCAGCCTACGAAGAGACAAGAAACCGTTTTCCGTCACCGACATCGCATTTTTGCCTTACAGATATCTACGGATATACCTTGCAAATATCTACTATGCTGTGGTATAGGGTTGATTCAACTTACCACAGATTTAAAAGAATGACTAAAAGCGATTTTTTTTAGAATCCAGTTTTGCCGAAATTGCATTAGACGTCTTTACAGGCATCCGATAACATGCAGAACAGCAAAACTGGAAATATTCTGGATAAGGCAATATTTGTGATATTGACACATACTGATTCACGTTATTAGCACATTTAAAATCAGCATTTCATACTTTGGGTATATTTAAAACTTCGGAAACAAGCCCCAAGATGAGTCCTTTATTTTCTGAGTGGTACCCTAAAACTCAGCCAAGGGCCTTTTCAAAAACCATTTTCCGTCAAACTTTTTGCTCCATGAGGGTCAATATACATGGAGACAGTGTGGTTTCAGCTCAGTAGATAAATGACTAGAATATTGGCTTTGAAGAATCTGTTTTTAAAGACCTAAACTTGCAATGGGCCCTTTCAGTAACCATTTTCCGTCAGAATTTTTGAACCAGTAGGTACATAAAGAATATTCTATTGGCTTTGAAAAATCCGCCCTAAAACCTGCGTTGCACACCTTTAGACTGCGTGAGTGTGTTATGAAAGACCTTGTTGTTCGTAGTGCAGTGGAGTTGTTGTTGTTCCGCTCCACTTGCTAGACTAGCACTTGTCTCCTGTACTCACCACACGGCATTCTTCACCTCTTAGGCCACACCAATTTAATTTCTTGTTTAACGGATTCGCCTGTTTCATTTTTTTCTGATTTGCAAATAAAAATAAAAATTCAGAATCAACTGTAAAATGCTCATATTTTGCCCTGAACAGATGAAAACAGTCCTTTTCTTCCTAGTTGTTACAGTTATTCCATCTTTCAATGCAGTGGTATCATTAAAAGTTAAAAATTCATTGTTTAAATTTTGAACCAGCCTGGTATGTTGACTTCATGGCTCCTATCGTACCATTTTGGGCCATAACAGGATGCCTAGGCCTGTTTTTATTTTTATTTCGCCCGCCCGCTCCATTATTTTTCTAGAAAAATCCGTTAACCAAGAAATGAAATTGGTGTGGCATTAATGCTTAGAGAAAGACATCGGCGTGTTTCACTGTGTTCACAGGTATTGTCCTTTTCACAATGGATGGTACACTATACAATGATAAGCGCTTATTGCTGTTCACTTTTCTTTCCGCTTGTTCAATTGATTTCAATACGTTAGATCTTATAGATAAATTCAACTACATTCTCGGGGGAGATAACCAATACAGTGTTCAAATAGGAAAATACATTAAAGAATGTTTCGACCACATGTTAGACAATAGTTAAACCTTTATTGTTACCGCATACATATACTCTGTACGTAAGATGACGTTACACATGTATGAAGCTTTGTTAGATCTTTAGTTGTGGAAGACCATACAAAAGTGCCTGTACTTTTTTGTTGTGTCAATAAAAGAATCACATTTCCTGTGATGGCTTCTTGTGACCGAAGTGCGCTTGTCCT